TGTTCAGCCTCCAGAAGAGAAGGCTGAGGGGGAATCTAGTGGCCTGTTACAAACTAGTCAGAGGGGACCAGCAGGCATTGGGGGAGTCCCTGTTCCCCCAAGCACTACCAGGAGTGACTAGAAGTAAGTCACAAGCTGGCAGAGGGTAGATTCAGACTAGACATTGGGAGGTGCTACTTCACGGTCAGGGCGGCTAGGATCTGGAACCAACTTCCAAGGGAAGTGGTGCTGGCTCCTACCCTGGGGGTCTTTAAGGGGAGGCTGGATGAACACCTTGCCGGGGTCGTTTGACCCCAGTACTTTTTCCTGCCATGGCAGAGGGTCGGACTTGATGATCTGCCCAGGCCCCTTCTGACCCTACCAACTATGAAACTGAAACTTTCAAAAATGTAGTTTATAATTCTTATTCCGTCACTCGTGTTGTCATTTAGAGAAAGTAGGATGACTATTGTAACTTCGTGTGTATACAAGAATAGAGTGGAAGAGGTTGAAATTAAAAAGAAGACATAACTGGAAAAAGGCGTTCATATCTTTATACAGTACATAAATTATTTGTTGAACTTTCACAAGACAGTGTTGATATAGAGAATAATAGAATTTGATGCCTTTGAATAATGGGAGTATTTACAATGACACTACACAGGCTATGAACCCTCAAACTTGAAAACACAAGTCTACCTCTAACTCTGCTGCTGGTTAAAAATAAAATTTCTGTATAGGTCTATTGTTGTTCACTATATTTCCACTGTGGCAACTCTTGCATTAGAGGGTTGGAATTAAGTGTTCTAAATTCTACTTTTGACTCTGGAATTGTGTTACTTTGGCCTTGACCAGACCACTAAATTTCTCAGTGTCTGTTTCCACTTTTAACGGCTGCGTGACATCCCCTTCCACATGTAATTAGAAAGCTTAATTCAGTCATATCTTTGAAAAATTATGAGGTCAGCAAATGAAAGTTTAAAAGTCTATAATATTTTTGAGTCCTGCTTGTGACTAGTTCAAGCTCTTCTCTTAAAGTATCTTTGGTATCACAGTTGTCCAGGAATCCTTCCTGTTGATTTCTGTGGTTTTACATTCACAGGGTCTCTTTATATAAAGACTGGAACATCTGGAAATCGGGGACAACTGATGATAGTAACAATTGTTTTTTTATTGTCAAAAGACAATATATGAAAATAGACTTTCCTCTACTCTTTCTACATTATCACTTGTAGGTTTTTGCCTTTTTCATGACAGTATCCTTTTGAATTAAGATAAGTAAAGGAACACACATCTTTGCTCTTCTAGGTTGCAGAGGAGCACAAGTTGAAGAAATATGGAGTTTGGAGCCTGAGAACTTTGAAAAATTGAGGTAAGTTATTAGACGCAGAAGAGCAATGTGGCTTTTCCAGTCTGTTTTTTATCTCTAACAATCTGTAAATCGTATTTGTTTGTTCTAAGCTCCTTGCATAAATGAACGAATTGTTCTAAGCTCCTTGCATAAATGAACGAATTGTTCTAAGCTCCTTGCATAAATGAACGAATTGTCTTAGACCAATAGCAATATGCTACATTATTACGTGTTTCAGCAGCAGTTTATCAGCATATTATCTTTGCACATGAAATTTACAGCCTTTTATTAGGATCTTTAGATTGTTTAAACTAGCTTTTCAGCAAAGCCTTCTTTATAAGAATTATGTGGTTCAGTGGCTAGATAAGCAATCTCTCAGATATGTCTGTAAGCAAAAGTTGCTTAACATCTCTGTTTCTTGTCATGTCTTGTTTTGGACTGCTGTAACCTGCTCTTACTGGAAACACTAAGTATTTTGCCATTCCATCCATACAATGAATGAAGAGCATTGTATTTATTCATGTATAGGAGCTTGAAAGGAAATAGAATGGTTGGAGACCCTTAAAAACAAACACACAAAAACCCATTTTACCAGAAGCAGCAGTGCGTTACTTTGATTTGGCTCCACAACTTCTGTATAGATTGTGTGCTTCAGTGGGGCTTTTTGGCACTTTTATCTGAAGCTGAGTCAATCAGCTGTTAGGTAAAAGCACCAAAAAACCTGTTAGATAAAAGCACCCAAAAAACCTGAGCTACAGACTCCAGGTGAGCTGGGTCCACCTAATGCGCTGCCCCTCTTGGGAATGCACTGAGCTTGGCACAGGATCGCATGGAGTTTAAAGTGCCAGTGTGTTTTGTTATTTTTCTTTGTTTTAACATCTGCAAACATCTACAGTTATCAAATGCAAGTCCCTTTTACTTCCTGTGTAACTATCTACATTTATATAATGTTGCAGAACATATGAAGTACATAATTTATGACTTGAAGTGCTGTTTGATTACAAATTAATTTAGCAGTCTTTTGTTACTAGGAATTACCAGTAAGTTACTACAGAGATTGTAGGTTGAACTTTTATTTAAAAAAAATACCCAGAATAATATCTGTTAATCATGAGATAACAGCTTTGCTTTCCCATTCTCTTCGGATTAAATTTCTGTAACCTCATATTGTGGCCAGTTTTGTACCTAGTCATTTCCCCATTCACTTTCTCTAGTACTTTAACTTTAATATAAGTATTCACAACTGTTCTTAACTCTTGAAGTATAGGTACTGTTGGGACTGCAGTGGGCCCAGTATCTGGGGAAATTTGTGACTTGTTTATGTTTCCTAGTCAGGGCCTAAAATATTTGCTTATCCCCTGCATTCATGAGATTCTTCACATTTAACATTGTCACATTTAACTTATTTAAAGTGTTTTTAATGAGTGAAAATTATTTAGAGCCTCCACTTTATGACAACTAAATGTTCCAGGTATATTGTGGACCTCCTAGCAGTTAGAGTATCGCTTTATTTTTATGTTTCTAGTTTTATATGTTCAGTTAAAATATAGATTAGAAATACTTTTATCTACAGAAAATGGAGGAATGACTGAGAAGTTCCTTATCTATCTTTCACTAGAATTTGTATACTCTTAGCTTGTGCAGGATAAACTAACTCCCACTGAAGCCTGTGGGAGTCTTTATTCTGGAGTCAGTGCTGGTTGGATTGAATCATTTTAATGTAACAGGCAAGTGACTTCATTTAACAGCTGTTCCCTTATTGTTGAAAAGTAGAATGGAAGGTCTTAAGGCTTTTCAAAACCCATCAATGGGCTATGGTAGAGATCATCCTAGAAGGGGTTGTCGAGAAGAACAGAAGGTAGTTTTGAGTGAAGAAGATCAAATATAGAATAGAACATAGGGTATCTCAGTGAGATTTGTCTACTGAATTGAGTAAGATCTGAGTCTTTCAAGAATAACCAACCGTATTTAAGCTCTCATGGCAAACTTCATTTAGATTATTACCCAGCAACTGATTGGGCGTGGATGCCCATGGAGCAATATTACCTTTAGTGGGGCTCCTGGTAGACTTAAGTCTACCTACATGTGGCCAATTACAGGATAGGAGCCATACTTTGTAACTTTTTTTGTGTCAGTAACAGAAAGCTTTTAGAGCGTGTGTAGCTGAGACTTAATACTCTAGTGCCTCAGAACAGAGCAGTGTGCAAGCCCTCCTGAGGATAATATAGTAAAGATCAAACAAATTTGTTTATCTTGTTTTTTGTACGCCTTAAAATCCTAGTACACATGGGGAAAATTATGTCCTTAAAACATTAATTGCTGAATTCTGTTCAACGTGTTAGGCAAGTAAATAACCAGGCACCTAACTATGATCCTTTTCCATCCTGCTGGAATCCCTGATTCAATGTTAATGCAGAATTAGGAAGGGTTGTTCTGGTTTTTGTGACTCATTCTTAAGAAGCGTTAGACTCTGGGTCTAAACGTTCAAAGTGTGTTGTAGTTCTTAGGGCAGCTGCATCCCTTGTCCTCTCTGAGTCTTTTTAATGGTACTCTTTCTCAGACCTTTGGCTGTCACTTACCAAGGTGGGATTGCACAGTTTTGGTTCTAAACTGAGTCTTGGGCAGGAGTGGCAAAGGAGTTTGTAACCAGGCAGCATTCTTAAGGGAAACAGCTGCATTTATTTACTTTGTTCTAATTGGACAGTTAAGTTTCTCTGAATGCTGTAAGGCTTGCCACACTGTGGGACTATAGTAGGTCCCGACTACTTTGCTTATGCCTACCAAACTTCCTTTTGTGCCCTGTCAATTTGTACCTGCATGCACAGCTCACTTCAAGGTCTGCTCTCCAATGTGTGTTTAACACTTTAAATGTTTAACATTTAAGTCCCCTGCTCTCTGGGTTGCCAGCATTGTCAAAAGAGCTACGTAACTTTGTCTGGAAATAGTGGCCAAACAACAGTGAAGATGCTATCTTGTAAGTGTTCAGGAATCTGCTTATAAAAAGCCATATCATCCTTCTGATGAACTTAACCAATACATTTGTAGAGGAAAGTTCAATATAATTATATGACTAGGTCACATACAAGGTCATATTACCAGATTAAATAGTACAGCCTTAAATACAGTAAATTCACAGTTTCTTTAGGTAGATGTGCACTGATCCATTGGTCTGATACCGGATCGGCACTGATATAAAGAAAACTGAGTATATCAGAAATTGACCTGATGTGGCTGATAATTTGGCCCATAAATGCCCGTGCATGCACACAACCACAGCATAGCATGTAGGCAGTGAGGAGTGCAGCCCGGCAGTTTGGAGAGCCGTATATAGCTGGTAAGTCTACTGTGGTGGAAGGGGAGGGGCGAGGGAAGGGGCATGGGGGTGTAGATCAATGCCCCACCCCTAGTGGGGGAGGGAGAGGGGCTGGGGCAGGCGCTGTCCAGCCAGGGTGGGGCAGGGTGCCGGACAGAGCTGCA